GGAAGGCATTAATAGCTCATTTTATCGTCATGATTTGGGATAAAAATAGACGAATTTGACATAAAAGCATTCAAAGATATAAATAAATAGTTTGAATCACAAGTTTTCTTTATTTTCTTAGAAGCTTAGTGAGAATTTCCTCTCATACTACTTATAAATTAAGCCAAATAGTTGTCTGTAGTGTATTATCTTGATGAGTGACAGTTTAATCATCATCAGTCGACAAACAATGCATCCAGCGATGTGCCAAGTGGATCCGAGGATAGACTCATAGGAGAAGAATCTGTCAATAATACATTGTCTATTTAATTGGATGTTAAATGATCTTTCGACTGCCAGCTGGGAATAAACGTGTTAAAAAATAGAATCATATGAGACCAAAAAGAGTTAAAAATACAGAAAGACCAATGAGTATACATAATGGAACTAATTGTAAAATTTAGAGCAATTTCATTTGAAAAAATATGATATTTGTGAAAGACCCTTTCCTTATCTAAATTTAATCTAGATCATTCTATAAACAGATAAGATCTCTTGCGGCTTGTATTGTGACTATATTGACAGCAGCATCTGGTATCTCAATGTAGTACAGTGACTGGTGACAAGAAGTTACTGAGAGCGTCCTCAGAGATGTTTTCGGAGTCGGTGCCAGACACCCACGCGTCCGTCGGGAGCAAAGACCGGTAGATTGTAACGACTATTATAACTTTTACATTTCAAAATATACATATATAAATCTTTACATATATGTTAAACTACATTCGTATTAAATTCTGTTTGAACACGCAACATGACGTATTGCAATCTTGATAAGACATCGGTATAGACGGTAGCGGTCCCGAGATAACTGACATGCAATAATATTTGATTTATATGATAAAACATTACATACTACCTGGGATTCGCTAACCTTTTTGATATTCTCCATTAAAACATACGAGGAACTAACATAGCGTGATTACGATAAACAAACATGTACACAATCATCTATTTCTTAAATAATTTTACTATGAAAATATAAACATCATAATTTACAATACTAAAAAACTTCAACACTATCACCTGAGAATTAATTAAATAAAAAAAGACATCAGAACAAAACGAAACAAAAAGCACGATATGAAAAACAATTTCCTTTCAAATAAACTAACATGATATGGCCTTCGTGTCTGAAAGCGGACGATAACTGGCTGTAATTATATGACGCAATACAAATATTTGTACCGCCGACATAGGACACACGAGAAATCGATAGCAACTGGAGAATACGAACAAAACTATCCAGGATTGAAACACCAGGCTGATTCCTTCCACTGCACTGTAATACCGTGTTTTACACTGATTTAGTCCAAGTTGTGTGATGAGTGTTTCTCGACTGAGCACCCGCTGGCAGCGACGCAAATAGTACGCTTTGTGTTTATCACAATACTCGTGACGAAGGCATCCTAACACTTTGACATTGGTTGAAGTCAAAATACTATACTTTTGTTTTGTCCTTGAAATATTAACTAGCGTTATAGAAAATTAATTGATCCAACTAAAGTAGTAAGGAATTAATTTGAAATAGTTATTCTTTGTTTCTATTACAGAATATATGCTTTAGTTTTGGGTTTGTTTATAAATAAAACTGAAGAAATAAGTTATCAAGTGATGACCATCCAACTTAACTGTAGTTGATAAAGGGGTCCAAAAGTAAACGGGATCCTCGATAGAGGTCAGAAAACCAGAATCAAGTTTAATAGTGGCTTGATTGCACTTTACTAAGGTGGAAGAGCCTAGCTGTGGTCAGTTACTACATCGAACATGGGCTGAATCGACCGGGTAAGTACCATCCCCTCGAAGAAGATTAAATTGAGTAAAGTTGTATTTAATGACTGCTTTTCGTCTGATGACTGAGAGAGCCGGTTACCCGTTCCCTATTCCCACCCTTTCCTACTATTTCCTTATACCCAACAACTCCTTCCTCAACAATCAAGGTTGGAAAGGCATCCGCAAATTCTTTTAAGTTGCAGATGACCATATGTTCATGGGCGACGGTAACTACCGCCCAACAGTGACCTGTCTGCTCGTTGTCATTTTTCTCATAAAAAAGCAAATATGATTATAAAGGACTTAACCACCTATAATCACGATAACTTGAATATTCAATACGTGTCAAGACCTGTTGTCTTCTTCACATATTTTATTTTTTTTTGGGTTATAAAGGAAATGTAGCAGATATAGCAGCTGCTTCACAAAAACCAATAAACTTAAAAAGAGGTATATATATAAGACATAAACTCTAACTTTTAATCGAAAGAGAATTTTTTTTTTTGCACTCTTCGACTTAAGACTGATTAGCTTGCATTTGGGGCTGGAATTACACGAAAGGCAAAATATTGCCCTAAGAATTAAACTTATGTTTTAGTTCAACTGATCTCGTATAGTTAGACAAAATCTCTTAAAATATTGTTCCTTTTTCTTTATGTAAAAATATTTGTACAATAGTCGTCGAACCAAAATTATGTATAACAAAACTTTATCTTTTTCTATGACAAGAAAAAAAATACGTTCTGAAATAACTGATATGTTTACAATCAACCATTACACATATTACATGAGGATGAAATCTTTATCACATAGATAAGGAGTTCCAAAATGATAAGAACGAATGAATGACGAATGAACGAAACCATGACACCACCGGAAGATAAAAAAATACACATTCTTAAGCAACTTTAACTAAAAATAATATAATATGCTTTACTTACATACTTTAAAATCGATACATATATATCGATACAATATATTTGAGTTTTAAATATAATTAATTAATTATTATATGAATGCATAGTAAACACTACCAAAAAATATATCCGTAACCTTAGTATAAGTGTGCGTAAAGAAACTACATACGACGCGTTTCACGTTTCTCATTCAATAGCATACGTTAATACTATGTATAATAAGTTACGATTACGAAATGTGACTTTACAACATTTGGACTATGCAGACTGGTAGTAAGGACAATTAAAACAACTAACAACGAATTACGAAATAAATAGTCAATAGATAAGTTATTATTGCACTTCATAGTTGACAAAAAGTTAAAATATGAGTCCTAACGTAAGAATTATAAGAAAAAACAGAATTCTTTGACAAACAAAGCTTTTTATAGAAAAAAAATAAAGACTGTGTTTTGGAAATAAACTATTGACTTTATATTAGCAGATAGGTGTCAGAGAAGTATTTTGACAAAAAAAACTTTGGTAGCTAAAATTATTAATATTCATCACAAATTACAATAAAATGACAAAGTAACTCAACATTTTTAGAAATGTGTTAGCCTTACTTGCTCCACTAAAAGGGTATGATATCAAAGATACATAAACAAGGAGAAATTAATGTAAATATATTAAGAAAGGTATCTTTTTTTCATCTCTATTTGTTGATTGTTAATTCAAAGGAGAGAAATTTGATATGAGAGAGAGAAAAAAAGATAAGACACGTTCGCATTACAATTATTATCTTATTTAAGAAACTCATAACTAAATAACTATAAACTAATTTTCAGACAAAACTAAAGAAAAATTAAACTACAACGAAGATAGTTTACAATGTACAAACTACAAGGACAGAACTAAAACGACGAGCGTAAACTATCGTTTAGCGGGTCACTAGACATACACATCAAGGACAATTAAAATGAATTGAATAATGTTGGAACAACGACACACTGGGGAATTAACGAAAGATAAGATAAGATTAGGTTATAAAGATATGGCAGACAAGGAAACTGTACAAGTAGTCACATGTTAAAATACACATAGTTAATTATTTTTATGACAAGATAGTTACAAAAGTAACAATTAAAGGTGAAAAAAGTGTGTAAAAAAATGAGAATCAAATAAAAAAATTGTGATAATAAAATAAAAATACTTACTTGAAAATTTTATGCAACACACCATAAAACATTAAAGAAAATTATCTATTTTATGCTCCTGTTTGAAAAACATTAAGATGGACCGATGGACTGTCGTTATAAAAGTTAAATCATCACGTATAATTTGTTTGACAAATAAAAACTTTGACATTGGCAAAATATTCCACGATTCCAGTGCGAATGCAGACATACCTAGCTTAAATTAAAAAAAAAAAAAAAAACATTCATACATACAAATACTGCTGTTCACTTTGATTGTAATTTAAAGAAAATAAGTAATTCTTATTGTTTATAATATAAAAACTTTATAATAGCATCTACAGAGTCATTAGTGTTGACAACAATGTTCTAACTTAAGTATTCAATTCTTTAAATCGAACTGTCCAAAGACACGTATCTATTGTTGTTAAATAATTATAATTTTATTGCAATTTAACACAAAATATTAATAATATTTTTTAAATGTACGTATTACATTAGAAACAACAACCTCGTCTAAAATATAGTAAAGTATAGCTCAATATCCATTTAAAACTTTTTAGTCCTATTAATTTTTGATTATTATTTTAACTACTTATTGCATTTTATATATTTTTCATCATTTATATGGACTTCTGTTTTGTAAGACAGCTGTGGCCACGATATCGATCCTAGAACACCGCTGAGTGGCGCGTAAAAGTGACCAATAACGCCTGGAATACGGCTTGATTTGGCGCAATGTAGTGACACTATTATACAGATAGATATAACAAAATAAGGGGAGAATTGTTGCTGCGGAGTTAGTTTAACAGTGTTATTGACGTCCCCTTTATTAATTTACATTCATATATATATATATTTATAAATTGTATGCTTTTTGATTATTTAGGGATATTTTAATAATAATAAATTATCTTTTACGACAAACTAGTATCATCTTAATTTTACATCAATCTAATAGTACAGTTTTTATAGAAACTGAAGAATGTTTCTTTGATCGAATTTCATGAAAAATATAAACAGGATGTTAAATCAACTCCAGAATCCTATTGTTTTCGTATTTCAGTAAACAACTGAGCATTATAAATTCATTACTGACCTATACGTTTGCTGAGATGTGGTGTGATCCTCCCAGGTTCCTCTTCTTCGACATCGACATCAAAGGAAAAGGGAAAACTTTTCGTTGAGCCGACGAAACCGGCTGCCATACCGTTTATAACATAAATAAATAACCAACCGCGAGTGTATCTACGCTTGTATTAAACTAGCGACTGAGTTGGAACGGTAAATTCCGAGCCTGGAAGTAATCGTTCGCTGACTCAACGGAGTGAGTGAATGAGCGAGCGATATGTACGACTAAACTTTAAAACATAGGTACTTGAAGTTTGAAATTTGGATTACTGTAAATTTATTTGTTACTAATAACTAAATTCATTAAACGAACTTGTTCTTCTTCAATAGTATCGTTTTAAATATATTTAAAATAATGGTATAATGTGTCTGAAGAATCTAAATGTATTGTCAAACATAGTAGGTATAGGTACTTCTTTATAATAATTGATTCTGTACAAAACATTCAACAATTAACAAGTAATCACAACACTCTGTTCAACATTTTTTAATAAATGTTTTATAAAATAATAACCACTGTTATAAGAAACAGAATATGAAAGGTGAAGGTATTAAATTATGTACTCATTACTGAACCTCAACTGACCTATGGTCCATGTATGATTTCGATTTTTTCAGTGTCTTGAATGAAAACAATGACTTACTCAGTCACACTAAACACTTCAATATCATTGAAATACTTTCATTCTACTCATACTAATGAAAAACAACACTAGGAATTCTCTTTCCAGTTTTATATATTTTATATTTTTGGGTTTTGCAAAACAAATACAAGATAAAACCCATATAATATGATGTACATAGAATGTTTTTTTTATAACAAAAATATATTGTTATGCAGAATCACTTATCAAACACATCCAATTCCTCTTACTTATTTTTTGAAATAATATAAAGAAAAATAGTTAATATGTTTAACTAAGACCAATTAAAAATTCAAAAGTCAATATATAGAATATAATAAAATATGCTATAAAAAATATGCTATTGGTATAGCATTCAAATAATAACTATTTTATAATATATATTGTTAGATATACTTTTCAACTCATAAGTACATAAATTAGTACATGAACGAAAAAAACTTTTCATTCAATATAAGTAAAATAAGCAAGTATTCAATTAAAGTATAATAATAGTGGTAATTTTTTCTAATAAGTTTGAGGGGCAATTGAAACACTTCATAATTAATATGATGTTATAATTTTATTTCACGATTTATATTATCTAGAGCTATATTGGTTGTATCCTATTCACTTCTTTTGTTGGGCGGCAACTTCATCGATAGGGTCTAGCTTGGGTTCATCGAACTTGAAGCTGGGGAAGGCTGTCATGTCCACACCGGAACCACCTCCATATTGACGTTCCAGTTTTTCGAGTTCAGTTTTCAGTTCCTTTTCAATAGCAGGGCTGGGCTCGACGAGCTTGCCGCCACTGAAATAACACATTATCTAACTTGTATTAAATAATTAGAAAACATTTTCATTTAAAATACTACAACCTAAGACATTGAAAAAACTTCTCATTAACTGTTATGTCGATGTTATTCAACAAAAAAATTGTATTTTGCCTTCATAAGCATATAGGGGATCTACATGTAAATATAGCATTTATGTTGTTGAAATGCAGGACAGCTTGTTTATAAATTCAAATTATTTGATGTGGTGATTACTATAAGTTATATAATATAATTATTAGCTTTATATTATTTTTCAGGAATTTACTTACACACTCTTCTGTTTGTACTCTCTGATTTTGTCCAAGAACAACTGTTGGATGGGGTCTGTGGCCTTCTGTGCCGCTGCGAGGTTTCTAGTGATCACGACAGAGGAGCGTGCCGCTCGGAGACCGCCAAGGAGTGAAGAAGTCAGCATCTGAAATCGATAACCATAACCTTAACAAGTTACATAACTTCAAACAGAAAGTATATAAATATAGTTTTTAATATTCATAGTTTTTCTGGATTTGAGGTCTGATCGAAACTAGCAATATAATAATTAGTATTTAATGGAAATTGTGCTTAAATACGTACCTTTATAAATCGTAGTATACTCGGAAAATTGACACTTGACACTTCCTTGGGAGTACCACTAAAAATCTAAATTAAATGTCAGTGTTAACTGACAAGTATAAAATACGAGTAGAAATTATTAATGACTTTTCATCTTATATAATAAATAGATTTTGTATTCATTTAGAATTATTATAACTCTAAACAATCAAAAATATAATATATTTTTTTAAAAGATATAAAAACATAATATTTAAATTGAAAAAATTAATCGATGCATTACTAAAAAAAAAAAACTTTCCCGCCATATTCCTAAATTGAAATTGCGTATTGCGGAAAAAAGGACTTAGTATTAAAGTACCTACTTATATATCCCAAACATTTCCACTAAAAAAAATACTATTTCCATAAAAATGGAAGTGGGAGATATAACAACAGTTGCAAGCAGAAAAAGAATAAGTGTAGACGTAGAACAGCTTCGAGATAAAGTATCTAAAGAAACTGCGAAGATAATAAAGTTAAAGGTATACCAACAAACCGACCAACCATTGTTCCTCACTTAAAAATTGTCAACAAAATTTATTTTTACTACATGTAAATTAAGGTGCTAACTGCACCTTTAGCAGTTTCTAATTTTAAACGTAAAGTGAATATATGCGTATATACGTATTGGTTGGTTATTATAGGTCGCACAAGACACAGCATATTGGGATCTCAAAGAAAAGCTGCACCAAGTTGAAGGTAACCATGAGCGTTTACAGCAAAATATGGTGGAAGTACAGATGCAGCACGAAACCATCTCTGGTCAGTACCAGGAAGAGTTGCGGCTTAGACCCGAGACACTTAACAAGTTAGTCAATACTATAATCGTGTTCATTTGAATAATTTATTTCAAAATCGATCTTATTTACAAAATCATTAACTATATAACATAATGTTAGCGCGTAATAGGCAATATTGTGTATTGTAGAGTGTCAGGTACTCGCGAGATCTGTTCAGTCCTGGAAAGCTACTCTCTCCGTCTAAAAGACACTCTTGCTCGATGTCGAGGAGATCACGCCGCCCTGTTAGAAGCCATGCAGCGAGCTGGCGGCGCTCTTAAGACCGCTTCGGAGAAGACACGGGCAGGAGAGATGGCTTTGAAAGATATGGAAGAAAGAGGTACCTATAAGATCATATTTTATTAGATTACTCTATTGGTTAAGGTCTATACGCTTCAAATTTTATTTGCGAGAGGAAATTATCGTGAACTTATTAAAAAATTTGAGTGTTTTAAAATCTACCCACATTTTAATATAAGTTTTTACTATTTAACGCAGTGAAATTAACGACCGAACATCAGAATCAACTGATGCAACTGTTTTCGGTAACGAAACAGCAATCAGACAAAGAGATACAAGAGCTGAAAGCTAAACTGGAGGCGGCTTTAAAGAGTAAGGAGGAACTGATACACAACGTGCACGAGATGAGACGCAAGATGGACATGTGTAGCTTCGATATAGGAAAGGTGCAGGGAAAAAAATAAATTAAACACTAAATAATTACTAATCGTGAAAAAATTACCCTGAAAGTCGTTAATATAGAAAATATTTCAACTTAAACTTTCTTCTGATAATTTTCTTCCAATGCAGATACGCGGAATTATTCAATGCTAGTTACGTCGGTTATGCACTATCCCCGACGATATCTAGCAAGCATTTTCTTTAAATTGTGACTAATATGTGAATATTGCAGAAAGAAGAAACAATAACAAATCTCCAAGGAGACATTAAACAACTGATACAAGAGCTGACCAGCCAGAGCTCGGAGGCCAAGAACGCGCTCGACAAACAACAGAAAGAGTAAATAAATATATTCTGTAAATGTACAATCATATATTTTCTATTAATACTCATTTAATATGTTTGTAGTTTGACCGCGTCTTTGGAAGCTAACTTCTCACATTGAAGAACACCATCCAAGAACAAGAGTCGCTCATCAAAAACATTTGCGAACAAAAAATTAACATTTGCGAACAAAAAAAATTAATTCAAGATTGAAGAACGTAAAATCAACGGATCTGAGCAAAGGCCTCTTCTCAAATCATTAAAAAACACCAATGATATGTCTCAAATTCAAGATATGAAGAAGCAGCTTCAGGTACTGGAGATCTTATTTATGGATTATTTTTATAATATGTAATAAAATTTGATTGTTTTCAGGAAGCTACTGCCATGAACGAAAAAAATAAACACGACTTGGGCGTTTTGGAACAAGAAAAACAACGGCTTTTGAATGAAGTGGAAGAAAATAAGAAGGTATTGTAATGAGTTTTACTCGATTATATCGATATATGAGATCTGAGTATTATTTTATTTTCAGCTTCTCATCACAAAAGAGGAGGAAATAAAGAAAATGACACAAGAAATGGATTCATTGGTGAATGAAATTAATAAAATTAATGAAGAACTCCAGAAAGCAGTAGAAGAAGCTAAAGAGAGGTCCAAATGTATCGAGGAACTGACGACAAGAGCGGAGACGATGATTGAAGAAAACGGAGGAGGCTGAAACATGTCTGAAAAATATTAAGTGAGTATACATAATGATCATAACTCATACACACACACACTAACAGTATATATGCAGGCAATGTCCCTAGAACTATTACTCAAGGCGATATTAAAGGAGTATTTTTAGATTTCAAATGAACTCTTAAAAGTAAAAAGTTTGATTTATTATTGTAACAATAACGTCACTACAAAGGTATTACTTAAAATATTGATAGAGATTTAGATTATAGTCTAAAATCATACAGAACGAAACTAATATTTTTCGGATATATGTACTACGAGTGTTTTATTTTTGTAAAAAAAAAACTACATACTCCCGACGTTTCGGTTACTTTTGAGCAACTTTTCACGGGCAGACGAGATGTCAATCATTTTTTTTTTTTACAAAAATAAAGCACGCGTAGTATATCCGAAAAATATTAGTTTCATTTAAATGAATACTCGCGAAAGTTTTCAATCTCATTACCATAGAAAATAGTACAGAGATGTTTGTACCAAGATTTTTCAACCAAAAACACTGCCCAGTTGAGGTACATACTGAAATCGGTAGTAAAGTAATACAAATTTTACAGAGAGACATCTGATGAAAAGATCAAAAACCTCACGACCACCATAGAGAGTCTGAACAAAGATTTAGATTCCAAAGCCATGACCATCACGCAACTGATGTCGGAACTAAAGACCAGTACTGACGTGAGGTCCAAGTTGGAGACCACCATACAGAGACTCAGGAAGGAGAGTGAGACGGAGAGAGAGAAAAATACGGAGAGAGAGAGATTACAGAAACGAAAGATCGAACAGCTGGAGGAAACTTGCAGGGTGAGGCTGAGAACTGACATTCAGGAGTTATTACAAATAATACATATATGTTTGTTAAATATTATTAATGTTTTAGGACAGAGAAGAAGAACTCACCAAACACGTCCTGGACAGTAGAGCTGAGAAGGTATTTATAATAGAAAACCTAGAGATGGGAGATATGAGTACAGAACTGTATTGTTCCTTGTTTTGTTTGCACATACTTATCTTTTAATATTTTCACATTAAGTATGACAAATTTGTAAGCTCTTTACGACCAGCTTCTCATATTGGTCGAGTTTTTTATACAGGATTAAGGTGAGACTCAATATAGTATAAATGATTAAAAAAAACTTAGGTATGTCCTTTCTGTTGCTATCAAATTAAAGTCACAACTATCATTTAATGACAAGTTTATTTAATGCTAGGCAGTTTCCGACCTATGTTATTATTTCATCAAAGTTTTGGTTAGCAAAAAAGGATGTTGATTTGAAAGCTAATTGAAATGATCTCAGGAGCATCTCCAGGAGAAGATCCAAGGTATGCAGAACACTATCGACAATATACAAAAGGAGCTGACTGGTCGACCGGCTGTTGTGGAGAACAGAATACAACCGGAGCTTGATGACAACGCCGTCATGTTAACTCCTGGACAGAAGGTTGGGGATTATGGCAAACTTGCTCTTATAGTTATATTGTGTATGTTTTAATAGTATTTTATTATGATCAGAAACCCCAGACTCCGATATCCCCGATAATACAGAAGAAAGGAGGCTTTCTGATGCCCCAGAAAGAGCCCAAACACCGCGACTCCGCGTACAATTTATTCAGCGACAGCAGCATGGAAGGAGACACTCTGGATGTATGGCCTAATACTATTAGCATAAAACATACCTTTCTTAATATATATTTTTTTTGTTTGATGGACAAGTTAAATGTAAATATAACAAACAGGCGTCCGAAGTGAACCGCCGTTTCGAAGCCCTATCTCGAGGTGAACGCGTCTCCCCCATGCCTCTGACGGCCCTCAAACGTCGCGGCGGAGTCCCCGCACCGCACTCCTCGCTTAAATACAGAACGCCTATTAACAACGCAGTGTGTCCTTAATTAAATTTATATTATTATTTTTTTTAAATATCTCTCAAAATAATAATTTAAATTTCAGGGCTCTCTTTCTCTGACACAAGCTAAGAGTGATATGAATAAAGAAAGAAGCTTCTTTAAGAACAAACGACTTGAAAAAATGAAGAAAAATAAATAATTATATAATACTTTCTATTCATTACTACTGGCATTCATAATAATCCTTACTTTTTTTGTCATTTGTTACTTTAATTACATCGAGAAGTTGAGTTGATTGTAAGTTGAGTTGAAATAAATATTTCCACATTGTTGTACTTTAATTATGGTTATTATATTTTACGAAAATATTAATTAAGTGTGTTTTAAAGATAAAATAGTTTGACACACGAAACTAACAAAAGAATAATTAAAAAAAATTAAAAAGAATCGCTTACAATAAATATTAAATACTTCTTAAAATGTATGTGAACTCACAAAATTGAAAATCCTTATCATCTAAAAATGCCATTAAATGTTTTTAGTATAATACTTTTCTTGTATTGTAATGAAGAAAAATAAATAAATAATAATATATAAAATAATTTAAATAACTACAGTTTTAAATTCCCTATAGTAAAGGTTTCTATAAAAAAATATCTAGCTGTATAAAGAAAACGTGTTGTCAAAGTCAAATAACATTTATCAAACACAATTCACAAATGACATATACAAAGCGATTTTGACTGTGCCAATGTTGTTATATATTAAGTTCTTTTGCAACAATTTAAATAAAGTATTCTAAGTGAAAACTTGGTAACCAATGAAATCACTTGAAGTAGTAAATCGTATTGGAAGGATTGAGTAATTCGTATAAATAATGGAACGCGGTAAAATGTCGTCGACCGGCCGCGGTGGAAAGAGTAAAGCACCTCAGCATCCTCAGGATATATTTGCTCTAGGAAGCAAATCCACGGTAGCAGTATCCAGGGACTCTGAAAAAAGAAATATACACAAACCGTCCACAAGCAGTATGTTGTTTTATGTAGCCAAGAGCCTATACTAAAGTTAATAAGAACATACCTGTATTAGCAACATACTTGTTAATTTAATTTCACGTTCTTATAGGTGTTGGTGAAAGAAAGAGGGCAGAATCCTCAGGTTTTGGAAGCCAACCAGCAAGTAAACGGGCCAGACTTGGTTCCCCAGCAGAAGCTGTCAGTGGCACTTCATTAGAAGTTGACCCTGTAGATCTTGTACCAAATGTGTTACAAGCTCTTGATACACATAATTCTGATAAATTGGTAATTATATTCTATAATATAAATTCTTTTTGGTAAAACAAAATCTCATAATATTAATTTATTTCAGCTGGGACTTCTTACAGGATCAATACGTCTTTTAAAATCTCAGAGATCTAAACCAGACCCTATATTATGTATGAGTATGCTCTACTTGACAAAGATACGTCCAAACATGTTTGCTCATGAGACGGTAACACAATCCCTATGCACATTGCTGAAAAGGGAACAAGGAGCAGCATTCAAGAGCAAAGGGAATCCTTTGGTGTTTGTACTGGCTTGTAATATGCTGTATGCTGGTCATAAGGATAGTAATAACTGGCCAGACACATTCATTAAGGTGAGAAGAAATTATTTATTTAATAAAATTTACTAAATAATTAACAGTGTTTTCAACTTTGATGATTAAAAATGTTTAAATTTATTTAAATTCATAACCTTTTGATGTCAATCCTTATATGAGAATCCTTACTTCCTTAGGTCCATTTATCAGCTATAAATCTTTATAATAATGGTATTCTTTTAAAAACATCCTTCAATAAAACCTGGTTCTTACGTAGCTAAGACAAAATGTACTGAAATATACTGAAAAAGTTTTTCTTATAATCAGAATAACTAAATAAAAACACTTAATATTTAATTTCTCCTTTAATAAACCATGTATTTTCATATACATTTAAGGTATATAAAATATTACATGATTACAATTATGCAAGTAACATATTAGTCTTATATTTTTTATTTACATCTTATGTAAAAATGACACTACAGAGGTGAACCTCTTGAAATCTGGTGAACCAGATTCTATATTATTATTATTATTCTTATTGCCACACTAATTCATATATGAATGTTTTGTGTCTCTACAGGTATATATAGAAGATGCTCTCAATGAACGCTGGTGGGTCGACTGCTCCTGGTGCAAATGTTTGGTTGAGAATATTGTCACAGCTTTTGGCACTAAACAACCTCCTGCACACCTTATACCAACAGACAACACTCTAGGTCAGACTTTAAACATTGTACATTATAGATAAGTTCTTATAAAAGAAGAGTTAATTGAATAAGATTTAGTGATAAAGTGTTTGAGATACATACAGAACATATATAACTTTTATACAATATATTATATCAAAAGTATTTGACATTGTTGTTTAATCTTATTAGTGACTTTTTCCTTCTTACCAGGTACAATGTCACCTTCTGGTTCAGGATCCCCTCTCATGGGGAACAATGAAGATGACACTGACAACACAGATCTGGAATATTCAGTCTTCCCCAGGTTATATTTTTTATATAAATCACTATTTTGTTTCTGCATCCTTTTGTTTTAAGAATTATGTATTTATATTTTGCTTTACCAAATTTTTACTTATAATTGTTGCTTAACTTTAAATTGGTGTTACTGTGTAGTTTGGTGATTTTTCTATTCTCATATAACTGTCAATTACAGGTACTCCAGTAGTTACGAATCTGTCGAGGCCCTGGTACTAGAGGCCATTAAGGAGCAGATTCAGCGCCGAGCCGCGCCGGATGCCATCGGAAAAGGCTTCCTCAAATTGTTGTCAGCTACTTGTGGTTTTCCAGAGGTAAGGAACCGAATGATATATAACGAAACATATCTTGGGACCTGAAATAGAAGAGCAAAAATAACAAATATGACTAGGGCCCGGATTAATATGTAAATACATATTTTTAATTTACGCGATTTTCGGTCTAGAATGTGTTTTTTACATGAATTGACATATTTAGACTGTGAAAACCAACTTTGATTTTCCATATTTTACCATATTTCAAAGTTAAGTCCATATTTTACAAGAAAATGTCACAATCATCCATATATTCACAAAAATACATAAAATTTACGTTCCCGCCACTAATGTTTTGGATAAAAATAAAGGATTTAATACGATAAAAAAAATAACAAAATTCTGTGCGAACGTTTCGAGGGCTGTAGACATGGCTTACACAATTACTGAATTAAGCATGTTTAAATATGCATCCATGACGTCATGTGACTTGAGATGAGACCAATCAGCAGATGTAATGCTATATGTCAACCAAATGGTCAGTTTTTATTTTGATAATTTAAAGAAGCACGTCATTGTGTATTGCAACCAATTTGATAAGGCTAGTGTAATGGAAGTTGAATAAAACTGTTATTTTTTGTTGAAATAAATATTTCGCCACTTTTTTTCATCGTTTTTTAAATGTAACTTAATGATGTACGTCACGAGTGACCCTTTTCTTATAGTAAAACAATGTTTAATTATGAATGTATTTAATTTTATACTCCATATTTTTTCCATATTTTTGATTTTTTTCGTTCATATTTTATGTACATATTTTAAATTTTTTAATACATATTTATCCGGGCCCTAAATATGACTTTCAGATCAGAATGATAGCAGCGTCTCGGCTGGAAGCGTGGTTACACTCAGGAAAATTGTGGCGCGCGGCCCAGGAACTCCTCGCTCATGTGTGCGCCAACGCGGCCGCCTCTGGGCCCAGCGCCGCCCGCGACCACGAGGTGCTCGCTCAGCTGGCCCGCATGAGGCTCAAGACCAAGCCACTCCAGGCTGCCTACCAGGCCTGCCTGCGAGACATGGTGGCCGACAGCCCGGCGCTGCTGCGCTCCGTCGTCACCCACACCATCTACAACGAACTATCGAACGTCCGGTCGCCGAACAACATGGCGGTGTTGGCTGCTCTCATCCACGCGCAGCCCCACCTCGTGCCGGCCGCCATGGCGGACACCTACCAGGAGCTGGTGGTCCGCACCGAGGACTTCTTGCGGCCGCTCCGTGCGCTCACACGCGAGTGCGTCCGCGCCACGCGCTCAGACGCGGCCGCGCTGCTACCGCTGGCGAGGGCGCTGGCGCACCCGCCGCCGCAAGATCCGCCGCCCGAGATCCGCGAGAGAGCCTTCCAGGCCCTCGCGGACCTGTTCTGCGTCTGCTGCCTGGTGACGGCGGCGCACAGTAAGCACTCGGCCGACTACCGCTCGCAGCTGTGCGCGCTACAACAGCAGGCTTTAGGCTGGCTGCTGGACACCGCCGTGCCCGTGTACCGCCCGCCGCACCACGACTTCCTGCTGGCTCTCAATAAGGTACTATTAAAACGTGCACTTTCGGTTACCAAATGACTTTATTCAAATTCGACACATAAGTATAAATAACAGGTACAATAGATGGCGTTACTAGTTATAATTTGTACTTAAATACAACCCCCCCACTTAACAAAATATTACAGTAAACTTAAAACATAAACTCTTTAACTTAGGTAAAAAATTATTGAGGAACAAGACCTATCATTTCTAAGAATTTATAATGCTTACTTGACACTAAACCTTTTGTAAACAGATCTGCAGGCATATTCTGAGTTGAGATATACATAACTTTTACTAAAATATTTTTTATAGCATCTTTTACATAATGGTAACATACATCAATATGTTTTGTTCTATTGAGTGATTGGTTACTGGTTGCCAATTTCAATGCACTCTGATTTTCACAATGTAACATTACAATAGACAATTTACATGTGATCTCATGAAACAAATTCCTTAAATATATATTATATAGCTTCTCTAGTTGCTTCTGATAATGCTACATATTCGGCTTCTATACTAGACAATGAAACTGACTTCTGTTTCCTGCTCTGCCATGATATCTAACTTTACTGTTAACATCAAACTTTTTATTCAAAACCCACTTGCACTTTAATATTGAAGTATCACTGGGTACA